GAGTTTTGGGGATTTCAGGGGGTGTCGGCCGTTGGGCGGTTCAATAGCCAGTTGAGTCATCTTTCCAAGATTCCTTTTGAGTCTCTCTCCCCTCTCCCGGGGAGACCCACGTGACCAGTTTTGGCAGTGAGCAACAAGTATAAGTACAAGTGTGTGTGTGTGTGTGTGTGTGTGTGTGTGTGTGTGTGTGTGTGTGTGTGTGTGTGTGTGTGTGTGTGTGTGTGTGCCCCTGTTTTTCTTCTTGCAGTGGAGGTCGCAGTGCAACCAGTTCATCAATGAGTTCTCAGTCGGCCGCAGGCTCTGCTACCCCTCCAGTCAGACGGTGAGTAGCTGTGATTGCTTGTACTTTTTGAGTTGTCTTGGCGACTGCTGCGATGATTGGCCTTCGGCAAGAGTCCATACCGTATTTCCGCGAATATAAGTCACCTTTTTGCACTAAAATTCAAGGGATAAAAGGGGGTGCACCTTGCAATCAAGCATTCCTTACAACTGAAGCGAATGTATCAAAACAATACGGCTCAAACTTGAAAATGGGGGTGTGACTTATAATCGGGGGGGGGGGGGATGCGGTAGCCCCAACAGTAATGCAACTCTGCATATAGGGTGTGGCGTGGCGCGCTGCCTGCAATACGTAGCCACGAAGTGCGGGCCATCGCGTCATTATTTTTTTGCTGCGGTTTCCTGCTTTCAATATCGCTTTTCTCGGCGACTTTGAGTGGTTTTGTGCGTGATGCGTCGCACACAGGTAGTGCCTTTGAACTTGCCGCATTGCGTCTGAAATTGTTGAGGTTAGAGCCGTCGGATCTAGGCGGGCGGATCGTCATTTCACAACTTATGTCCTGAAAGCATCGCTCTGTGCACTAAACCATAGCTCGGAGATCGCTTGCTGTCGGTTTGGTATGTCTGTGTGTGCTGATGTGCGTCTTTTGTGTGTGTGTGTGTGTGTGTGTGTGTGTGTGCACGTGTGTGTGTGCACGTGTGTGTGTGTGCACGTGTATGTATGTGTGCACGTGTATGTATGTGTGCGTGCGTGTGCGCATGTGTTTCTCCTCCCTTCTTCCTAGACCCCCAGCTACGAATAGTGCCAGCGGAGCAACCAGCGAGTCCAGCAGCACAACAGGCCAGTCCAATAGTAATGGTACCAATACTACAGCATCTACCACTGCTGGATCCACTGGCAGCAGAACTACTTCCTCTACTCAACCCTCTACGTCCTCATCCAGCCGAGGTGTGCGCCTCGAAGATCTTGCAAGCTTCTTTGATGGCAGTCCAGGTGAGGTATAGATTTGGGTGTGTTTGGGGAGGGGGGGGGGGGGGGGGGCATGAGAGTGATCTAGGGTGTCAGAGTGTATGTGAGTACGTGCGTATGTGTGTTTGTGTATGTGTGGGGGGGGGGGGGGGGGGACTTCATAGCTGTGTGGTGTATACCAGGCTGAATAGTGGTGGCCAGTGCTTCAGCCTTGCAAGCTGTTGAATGGTGCAATCCCAGCACAAGCTGCTATGGCTTCTGCTTTAGCATCGATGGGCGTCAAAATGGTCAAATGGTGTGTGTGTGGGGGGGGGGGGGGGGTCAGAGGGCAAGTGAGTTTGTGAGTGGGGGGGGGGGGGGGGTAATTGGGTAAGTTGGGGGGGGGGGGGAGGAGGGAGCGAGTGAGTGAATGGGTGAGGGAGTATATCAGTGAGTGTGGCATTCATACTCTGTGTTGTTCTGTATTGGTGCGGAGAGTGCTAAGGTCCTGCGTATCGCAAGTCTACACCGCATACTCACGTGCATCTTCTATCAATGTACACCTCAGCAAGGCGTTGTGAAATCCCGCTGCCGTGTGACACTGTGCGTTTTAAATTCTGTTGTGTGTCTTGCAGCCAGCGCTGCAGCTGCTGGTGCCACGGCTGGTGCTTCGTCAGGTTAGTTAGCCGGCAACAGAAATATTCCCAACAACAATGTTGCTATCATTCCACCTTCACCTCCATTTGGCTCAGCTTATTCTCGTCCTGCAGACTTGATGCGGGCACGAGGCTTTAGCTGAAGATGGACTACCTTCATCGCTAGACTCTCTACACACCTGTTCCATGATCACAGAACCCCCAACAGCTTGCAAAGGAAACCTTGACCCGATGCTACTGCTGTTGCAAACACGGTTGTGTCGGTCTCTCTCTCTCTCTCTGTCTCTCTCTCTCTCTCTCTCTCTCTCTCTCTCTCTCTCTCTCTCTCTCTCTCTCTCTCTCACACACACACACACACACACACACACACACACACACACACACACACACACACTACTACTACTATCAATCAGCTACCCCTTGGGGTCACGCCGCCCTCCACTCAGAGAACTGAGCGCAAGGTGAGGGGCAGTGGCGCAAACAAAACAGGAAGTACAGCAAAATGAATTGAAAAAAAAAAGGAAATCAAAACAAGCTGCCATATTGATGGAAAGGGACTCACAAACAGAGGAAGGAAATATCACAAACCAGATGAACAGTCTGCTGTGGGTCCACTATGTATAACATGCAACGACTGAAAAAGGAACACAATTAATGTGAACATGATGTTCTGTTCAACAATAACGTCTGTACGCGTACTGCTTCGGCCTTCATGCACCAGGAAAGCACAATCTTGAGCTGGAGGGTGGGCACCGAACATCCCACAAGGGCTCCACAAGACGTACTTTCACGAAACGACGAGGAGTATGCGCAGCAAGCTAACATCACTACACCATCGCCGCATGACGACTGGCCACTCAGGTCCAAACAACACGACAAATTCACAATTCCAGCTATCACCGCGCAGGAATAAATTGTTGCGAGTGTGACCTGTATCCTTCCTCATCCAGGAATCCACTTGTTTTGCCGAACGCCACTGCATTGTTACAGGCTGGGGATTGATCCGAGGGCTCGCCACGCCACTGCGGAGGATGCGGAAAGGACGTAAGAAGACGGTGACGGCAACAAATAATTACCCGCCCTGGTCGTCAGCTCACTGAATGTCGTTCCGCGCGAGCGAAACCGGCTGCAAGGCATGAAAAGCCTACTGCCAGTCAATACCCAGGGACGACCCTGACCAGAAGGCCAAGGCCGCCCTGTGGAGGAGGCCAACAAAGAGAAAACCAGGAGCTAACAAATCTGCTTCCTCTACGTGAAGCAACTTGGACACACACACACACACACACACACACACACACACACACACACACACACACACACACACACACACACACACACACTAAGACTACTAAGACATGCCCATCGCGGAAGCGATGATAGCGAACAGCTATGTTAGACATAGCAACTTGTGCTGGGATTACACCATCCAACAGCTTGCAAGGCTGATGAATTGACCAACACTATTTTTAGCCTGGTATTCACCACACAGCTGTGTGAAGACACACACACACACACACACACACACACACACACACACACACACACACACACACACACACACACACACACACACACACACACACACACACACACACACACACACACACACACACACACACATACACACACCAATCAGATTTGTTTAAAATTCAACACAGTCCCTAATCCAGCAGAATTTCCGTAGCACAAATGGTGCCGGATTAGAACGGGATCACTGTACTTCTCCCACTGATGTTACCGCTGCTGTGTGGACTGGGTTTTTTTTGCCCGCAGTTGATCTGAGTGACGTTATCACCAGAGAGCGACTAATGAAAGTAATTGGTGTGCCGGAGGTGTTTGATGCGTTGACACCGCTCCTACCCGAAGACGGCTCGGAGCCCAGTGTCGATACGCTGAAGTCGGTCGTCACGTCGCCGCAGTTTGCATCGGTGAGTTGTCGTTGCGTTTGTGCCAGCTGGTGGTCTTTGTGTTTGGGTGCGAGCGCATGTGTGTGTTGTGTGTGTGTATGTGGGGGGGTTAGGGGGATTTAATGTTTTGTTTTTCATGCGTGTGATTGATGTGTGAATTCTGCTTGATAGGTGTTCTGGTTCTGGCTCGTGCTTTGTGTGTTGGGGTGAGTGTGTGTGTGTGTGGGGGGGGGGGGGGGAGGCAGCAGCAGGTCAGATCAACAGTGATGTTGGTACAGTACTACCAGTGCGTTGCCCATGTTGTTGGTACTGCTGTTGCTGCTGCTGCTGCACTTCTGCTCCTGTTGTTGTTGCTGCTGCTGTTGTTGTTGCTACTCTTGCTGCTGCAAAGCAGTTTGTTTGACAGGTACTTGCCCTCTCCAATAGCAAGTCCGAAATTGAACGTCGTTCTGTTTGCTTTGTCCGATTATTTTTGTGTTAGGCTCTGAAAGTGTTTGGAGCTGGTTTAGAGTCTGGTCAGCTGGCACCGTTCATGACAGAGTTTGCTGTCAGTGAGGGAGCTATCGCCAAGGCGGCAGTGGGCGGTGAGTTCTAACCAGAAGAGTACATGAAACCCACTCCATGCAAAACATGTTCGATGATGTCATGATGATGTCATGACGATGTCACGATGGTGTCATGATGTTCGAAGAGTACATGAAATCCAGAGGGTTCAGCTCCGATGGGTTCATTGAGTGGCACTGTACTGTTTCGAAGAGCCTGCAGCCATATTTATGTCGTACATTTTACAATACAGGATTATTGTTTAACATGTTTTTCGATTTGACAGCATGTTACAAGGCGAGGACGCATAGTGCTCCTGATTACACCCATAACCCGGCTGGTGTAACATGCTGTCACATCGAAAAACATGTTAAACTTCCAAGCAAGGCTTCTTTATAAAAATAGTATTATTATTGTTGTAGTGTTAGCTAGACTATACAAGTACCCAGTCACATGACCTTGGGCAGTGGACACACAGGACCCTGGCTAGAAAAGTACTCTTTTTGTTTAACCTTTCTGGAGGGACGTTATGCGGAGGTTTCGCTTTTTTCTGTCTGTGTTTGCATATTTTTAATTTCTCACTTTGTCACTCGCATATTTCTTCTTTCATCGCTTTTATGTCTCCGAAAAGTTCGTCTGCTCTTCCTGTTCTGCCAGGACCAGCTGATTCTGAACATGCACATTGTAAGATATCGTAGTGCCTGACGGAACGAACGTGTATTTGCATGTGTCCGTGTGTGTGTGTGTATGTGCGCGCACATCCGTGAATGCACGCATGTTGGTGGTTGTGCGGTTTGCAGACGTCGAAGGATTCCTTCGGGCGCTGCAGGATTCGGAGAGCTCTTCTGGTAGCAAGGAGGAAGGGATGGACACCAACTGATAGCTTCAGCTTACCAACGAATGGTGACGTGGGTTTGGTTTGTCACTGTGCTGGATATGAGTGAACGGGACAAGGGCTGCTGAAGTTCTCGTTTTTTTTTTCTTCCTCCGAAATCGAGGCAGCCAGTTCTTTGCAGCCTTACTTCAGCTTCTAACCCTGCCGTAGCTCCTTGGCATTTTTTCCTACTCAAAGATGTTGATTTCTCCTGCCTGCCCGTCGTATACGTATCCACCCACGGCTGCTCGCACCGGTGACTAGTGTCCCCGTTGCTCTTATGATGCCATTGTTATTGTTTTAATGAATACATGTATGACCTAGCTATGCTCTGCATGACGTCATCGCATGATGTCACCGCAGACCATCCATGCTTTATGATAATAATTTATAATTATTATCATGACGACATTTTGTCTCATACACGTGCGCGCGCGCACACACACACACACACACACACACATACGCACGCATGCATGTTTTGGTGCATCATTTTCGCTATTGAGAATTTGTTTGTGTTTTTTATTTTATTTTTGGATTCGTCTCCAGCTTCCTTTCCCATCAGATTGTAGTTCACTCTTAGTCAGTCAATGGTAGCTGATGTGTGCTGCTCCTGTGTGATTCCCAGTGCGGTATTTGAGTCAGTGGGATTCTGAGTGTGGTGTCCGAGTGCGATCCCAAGTGTGGTGTCCGAATGTGATTCCCAGTGTGGTGTCATAGTGTGGTATCCCAGTGCGATTTCCAGTGTGGTGTCCGAGTGCGATGCCGATTGTGGTGTGCGAGTGTATACAGCAATTTCAATGCATGCAAACCATCACACAACAGGAGCGTGCACATGAGAGTGCGTGAGTGGATGTCCATGGGGTGTCCATGAGTGCGTGTGTTTGTGCTTCTCTGTGGATGTGGGTGCATGCGTGCCTCTGTATGTTTGTATGTGTGTGTAAGGGGAGGGGAGGGGGGGGGGGGGGGGTGCATGCGTTCCTCTTATCTGTGTGTGGGTGAGTGGGTGTGCGCAGTGTGTGTGTGGGTGAGTGAAGTTTGTGCGCTAGTTTTGCCGCTCATCTTTGGCTGATGCATTTCCCCAGTGTGTACAACCATGTAGATCTACATGATTGACATTGTATCACTGTTCCGCTACTGCTACTACTGGCGCTAGCTAGTCTTGCAGGTCATAACAATTTGGAAAAGTGATCCTGTCAGCTTTTCTTATTGTGGTCACATGGTACACGAACGCAGCCAGTATTGGCATCTAGATTTACAGCAAATAATTGAACAATACCGCTTCGAGCTCTTCGCACCCTATCTTCGGTTTGAGCCATAATTATGATTATTATCGTGTCAATTTTAGAACATTTCCTCTCAAGTCTCATGATCCTATTAATTTCGCCTATGATCATGATGATACCCATGTTCCCCGATTCTCAACATCATTCTAAAGAAGACCGCGAAGATGGGCACCTCACGAGTATACCCGTTACTTGTCTAGGAGTTTAGCGTCTTGTTTTGTTGACAAAACAAACGAACACCCAGATGTCAAGCGGCAGCATCTCCGAGTCAACTGGGGTCATGGGCTCGCCAATGATGGGTCTCGCTTCCATGTATTTCGTGATCGCCGGACGTCAACAGATTGTTTTTTTTCAGTTAGGGAGTACCGCTTGTAGCTGTAGCACAGACTGTCAGACTCCCTGGTTTCAATCAATGAGAAACCGGAGCAGAAGAAGAAGAGAAGACGACTGACATGCAAGACGCCTGCCATCCTTTTCTCGAACAAGCCATAATGACTCTTATTTTGGGTAGGACTGTAAGTACGTTGCAAGCCGCGTAGCCTAACCCGCTACACTGCCCACTCGTACTCGACTTGACGACGACCTTGTCGCGTCGGGACGCCATTGAATTATGCCGGCCATCGACGAGCGGACGACGAGGCGAGTCCTGGCACCGCGGAATAGAACAGCGGCCAAACCGTCGTCATTCCAGCAGCACGAGAGCGTCGTTCAGCGGATTATGACCACCAGTCGAAACACGCAGGCACGACCCGCACCGTCGGTGGTGACCATCGACAGGTCTTCAACGGAGGCTGAGCAACAGTCCGCCGACGTGCAACTGGCTGGTAAGGCCCGCAGCAGCCGTGCACGGCTCGAGCGCGCACTGGCCGTGTGCTCGTCCGACGATGCACCGACTGGCTCCGGCGCGGCCTGGACGAATTCGGAGCGAACGAGCAGTTACGCTCGTCAACCAGATTCCGGCGCTGGCCACAGAGCCCCCGCTCGTTCAACTTCAAGACATCACCATGCGGTAGGCGGCATGAGTCGTCACAGCAGCAGTAGCGGTGAAGGCAAACTCGCTACCGACCAAGCGCGAGGCAGACCGCGGCATGAGCTGGGAGCCATCTCCTCGGATCCACTACGAACACCGTCCATCACCAGCACTGCGAGGCAACGCGATAGGACTGCTAGAAATGGCCAGAGCAGTGTGCAGACAGCAACGAAACGCGAGCAAAGAGCCAAGAGCCAGAAGTGTCAAAACGCGACAAGCACTGGTGCTCTCCTACCCCGCATACGAATCGCCTGTGCTTTGACCAATGGCACAGACGACGAGCAGCAGAATACATTAGGTAGAGCACCAAGCCACGGGTTCCACCAAGCACTGACAAGTCAGCCGATGGCGCTGTTGAACGACCCTGCCGCGGCTTCACTGAACGGCGAAAGCACCACCTTGGCCAGGGGAGCAAACGCTGGCGAGGACGGTGGACGGCACGATGAAGCTCCTCTACTCGGCCCCGCATCCCGGCTGAACCTGTGTGCAATCCGTGAGGGCGTTGCGAGCGTGGCCTCATCCTACGGTGCCGACATCGAGAGTGCGTTGTCAGGACACGAGAGTCCGTGTGCAACGGCAACACAAACGCAAGTCAAGCCGGCGGCGACGAAATCATCGTCCACCGGCGAGAACCTCACCTTCCCGAAATTGGGACGGTCGCCGAAAACGACGCCCGGCGGACCGAGGATGACGAGCATTGTGGCGGCGCGGCGCAACATGAGGCCGCTGCGGAATCGGACACGTGATCGCACGCGCACGCAGCCGACATCGGGGCTTTCGACCGTGGCCGGGGAGCATGCTGCATCTGACCGCAGCGTTCTCTTGTCCAAGACGTTTCCCGGCGGATTCGTCAGCCTTCCCGTCGGCGTCGGCTGGGCCGGGGATGGCCCAGGTCCGGGTGTGCAACGCCCGGGTCGCAATGCAGCTGACATACCCATGCAGGGCACGTCCACAGGACTTCGCTTATCTGGCCATGGCATGCCATCGGGGGAGTCATGGTCTACATACCGTAACTTCACTACAGCAGCAGCAGCAGCGCCTGCACAAACAGTATCACCAGGTGCAAGGCAGGTGTCCTCTCCACACAGAGCGAAAGCCTGGGCGGGGATTCCCCATCCCCAGTCGTCGCTTGTACCGTCATGCGAGACCGACCCAGCCAGGAGAGTGCGTCGGCAATTCTCCCAGCCGAGCCCCGTGGCAACCACGAGACGCCATCACCACTCCCAGGTAAAACTGTCTCCGCTGGGCAAGACGGTTGCCATGGTCGCGGCAGGTCAAACAGCGCATCGCCGATCGGGCGGAAGTGGCTCAACAGCTTCACCTGCGAACGCGGCAGCAAAGACTGCTCACCAGCCAGTGGTCATATACAGCACGACGGTGCAGAGTCGTCATGTGGTCGCCGACTCTGCAGACATCCTGGCCAGAGCTAGCAGCCGCCGTGCAAGCTCAAGCACTGACGTCGTCGTTCAGAGAACGCCCGGCAAGAAACCCAGCTCGGCGAGCCACAACGCTGCCGCGTCGGAACTGAGTCGCGATCAATGCTGGGCAGCGACGGCGGCGGGTGCATCGCCAACGGCCGCTGGTCATGTTAAGTCTCCGCTGCCGCTCACTCCAGAATGCACTGCTAGTGCCGCTCTAGATTACAGCAAGCCAGCGGAGCCATCCTCTTCGACGAATGGACGCACGAAGCGGCTGGTAGTCTTCAAGGGAGTTATGGGTAAGATTGCACTTGTTTTTTTTGTTTTTGTTTTTGGTTTATTTTAGTTCTTCGCCTCGACAGTACACTGTACAGTAAAGCCTGTCAAGGCGACCACTCGGATAAGGCGACCACCTGTCCCGGAAGACCACTGCAACCAGGATCAAGGGATGCTATTTCCAGTCAATTGACCCTGGATAAGGGGACCACCTGGTAACAGAGACCAGATTTTGAAGGTCCCTTGAGCGGTCGTCTTAGGCTGCGTTTACACGACAACGCCGGGGGCGAGAGGCAACAAAATCCTTTCGGATCCATGGTTCATTTACACGGTACGCGGAGCAAAACGTAAAAGTTGTACACCAAAACGCAGGCCAAAGTGGAAGAATTTGAAAACGGAAATGTTCTGCCGGATAAATTTGGGTGTGTAAACAGTCGAAACGGTGGCTGACCTCGTTTTCCGTCACGTTTGTTCCGTTTTCGGCCGTTCACACGGATCCGACAATCCAAAAAATTGTTTTACAATTTTCGTAATGTGACGTGTGTTGTCGTGTGGCCTGTTTTCAACCATTACTTGGATGTCACTGGTGCTTCCACGACAGCACTTGGCACATGACACACTTTGGCAGATCCTTTGCTCTCGTGTAGACGCTTGAAAACGATACAAACCGAGACCGCCTCGGATCGGCTTTGATCGTGTAAACGTACGAAAACGAAAAAAGAAATGCGGGACTGAAAACGGAAAACTGGCCGTGCGTTGTTGTGGAAACGCAGCCTTAGACAGATTTCACCGTACAACTAAAGTGTTACTTCAAAGAGGGTCGAAAAGGAAACAAAATAGCCGAGGGTCATCAGAAAGGGAGTGGGACAGAAAATATTCACAGAAGATTAATGCCTGTTTTTGGTTCATTAGCTATAGGCGTGGGTCCCCATCTATCGCGTGACCATTTCCGGCAGCCATGTTGGTTTCAACGCCACACAACCCCTGCATCTATGGGTCACATGATGTCAGCCGTGTAGGTTCCATTGGCCACATGCCATGATCAATTTCTACACGAAAATTTAGTCGCATGACAAAGATGTGGGGCATTTACTCTTGACTCTTGACATAACAAGTCATGCTCTTCAGCTGAACGTACATGCACCAGACCGGTACCATTCACAAGCATGCACAGCAAGAGATGAGAGCTATGATATTTGATGCAGGCATGTAAGTGCTGCTGAATGAAATCCAGCCGCGTCACTCGAGTACGCGTCGGGCGTTCCGCAGCCCCAGACCTGCGAGCACTGGGGTGCGGTATGATGCAAGGCGCAAACTTGTGAGTGACACTACTGGATTTCATTGAGCAGGACTCTAGATGAGCTGAACGCCACGAGCAAACTAATTTTTCAAGGTTTAGCTGCATGAGCCTGTCTCCGTGGAGACCAGTTGAGGGAGATCCCCGGGTATGTGAGGTTGCGATAAGAGAGGTTCCATCGTGCTAGCACTTTGTCTCTGACCAGGCTGTGAGTGTGAATGCGTGCACATACTGATGTGTGCATATGTGTGTGTGTCCACGTGTGCATGCATGTGTAAATGAGCGTATGCGGGTGTCCATATGTGTGTCCGTGTTCACGTGTGCATTCGTGTGTTCATATGTGCATGTGTGTGTGTGTGTGTGTGTGTGTGTGTGTGTCGAAGTGTGCACGTCCATGTGTGCATACGTGCATCCATGTGTTCGCAGTCATGTGTTGTGCATGCCGCGTGCATCCATCTGCTTGTTACCATGCTGGGTCTGTGTGAGACTGTCGTTCAGCTGTCTGCCCGCCAAACTTGTTTAGAATTTGGCCATCTTTTGTCTTGTATTCTGTACGTGGCAGTGGTCACATCTTTCATGATTCACGTTCATGTGGTGGTGAACGTTATACTCTAATTTCAAAAAATTTCGGTGCTCAATATTTTCGGTATGAGGGCAACAGGCTAGGTTAGGTGAACTGAAATTTTCGGTACAGAGAAGCAGTTCCCTATTGGATTATGTGTGTTAGTGTTTGTTCGGTGTATTGAAAATTTAGGTATGAAACAGACGCACCGAAAGTACCGAAAATAAAAGTACACCGAAAATTTGTGAAATTACAGTAATAATAATAATAATAATAATAATAATGACAGTTCGCATTTCACTCATTGCATGAGGTCAACGCATCTGTTAACAATTTCGAGCCAAGCAGCTCTATCAGAAGCAGATTGCACAGCATCCAGAAGCGACAGATTAATGCATTGTAAGTCTTTCTTGACAACGTCGATCCATCTCAGACGTGGCCGTCCTCGGGGTCGTCGTATGTCTGTTGTGTTGATCGACATTAGGAGGGCTTGGAAAGAGGACGATTCTTCGCCTTCCCTCACTACATGGCCGAACCACAGCAGTCTCCGTTGCCTGCAGACTTGGGATAGTGGGGTCTGCTCGGTTCTGGCATACAGCGCTGTGTTCGAGATTCGTTGTGGGTACGTGATACCAATGATGGTACGTAGTTTCTTCCGGTGCCATACATTGACGACGTCGGTTAATGTTTGCGATAAGGTCCAAAGCGCACAATTATACAGCAAGACAGGCAATATCAGGCAGGAAAACATACACAGCCTGGAATTCAGGTTGTGGCGTTTCCATGGAATGCCTGCAAATGCCCGATTTGCAGCAGACACTCTGGCTGCTATGCTAATTACAGTAATGTGCAAGCCATATTATATAATTATGGCTTTGCTCTGATTAAGTTGAGGGCAAAATTAATAGTTACTGTAGAGGCAGAACATTTCGTCGGTCAATAATTTCGTCCAACTCCAAAGAAAATGAGTTCGTCCGGTTGAAAATTTCGTCCATGGATCATAAGAGTGTATAGAAAAGCTGGACAAATCGATATTCGTCCTACATTTAATTAAGTCCAAAAGCTCCTTGGGTTGATAAAGTACATGTACTGCCCATTCTACTTGCCAGTGTGTCTTGTGGCTGCTCCCGTAAAAAGGAATTTTGTTAAATTCGCATGACTTCACCATTTCGGTTGCCTTGTGTCATATTGCTATGTATCTCTGTGCAGGGAAATCCCCTTTCTCCAAGCATCACCATCACAGTCGAGGTAACCACCACCATCATCATCGGCGTAGCCACGGCGACACCAGCAGAGTGCGCATGCTCGAGCTGGTGGACATCGACCCGGGTTTCGCGGCGAGCGACGAGGGAGATCCGATCGGTAACCAAGGCGACGAGATGCCGTCCCCACCTCGCCCGCATGCAGTGCACCGTACTGCCGACGATGACAACTCTGATGGTGAGTTGGCACCAGGCACACCGAGAGCTCTGGTCTTGCGCGAGGGGGCGTCAGTGCGGAGACGTCTGTTTCGCCAACTATCAACGTCCTCCATGCCGGCCAGTAGCGGGGCTGAGTTGGAGGTAAGTAGTCTGCTGGTGTTTCTTACACGACGGCTCTTTCCCATGTACTGTCCTGCTAAATGAAATCCAGTCGTGTGAGACGGGTTTGCATATTGCACCATTTCGTAGCCCAGTGTTCGTTCGCAGGTCTAGGGCTGCGCAACGCCCGGCTTGACTGGTCCGACTGGATTGCATTGAGGAGCTATGTACTTACAGGCAGCAGCAAATTTCATACACACCTGGGTGATTACGGAAGTACCGTAAATACCTGCCCTAGCCGCAGGACTCCCTGGGTGCAGCGGAAACTGTCCTCATCTGACAGGATTCCGCAGTACCAAGGGATGCATGTTCGATCCACAGGTTTGACTGTAGGTGAAATTACTTGAATTTACATTTGCATCAGGGATTTATTGCAACTAAGGAGACGACAGGGTACCGTAGGTCCCCAAAACGACGTGGGTTTTGATCCCGAATTGGGAAGTTCTACGTGATCTGTGGTCTGTGCAACTCGAGATCATGGGCTTCCCCTGTTGACCCCAACCATGGTCCAGACCAGCAGTTCTATATGCGGGCATGCATAAATCGACCCTTCCCGAGAGGGGTGATTGTCCATTATTTTGTTTTGCACTGCATACTGTGTACAGGTAGAGGTCTGGATGCTGCATGCCAACTAGAGATTAGTGAAACCTGTAACTAAAGACCACTTTGACTAGCGACCAGCCTGGTACTACAGACCACTTTGCCAGGCAGGGACGGTCTCACATTCATATATTATTATGGTTGTGCGGTGCAAACCTCTAACTAAGGACCACCTGCCACGAAAGACCACTTTCTACTGGTCACAATGGGTGGTAGTTAGTCGCAGGTGTTACTGCGGTCTTTAAGTGGACCATCCTGCTTGTCATGTGTCTCACCGATGTATCGATGTACCAGGGAATACGAATGAGCTGCCGTTGTTTGATTTTTCCGCCTCGCGTTGGGGCAGGCTGAAATCCTCGGCGTCCGATCTGTCGCATCATTCACGGCGGTGAGGCCATTGCGAGTTTGTGTGCAGACTACGTGTACAAATGAAGATAAAAATCCATGCAGAATCCCAAGACGAATGCACAAAACACACGAACGTGTTACTGCAGGGGCGACGGACACCCTTCATTCGATACGGTGTTGGCCGTACCTATTTTTTTTGCCACAGGTACCCCACCGTGAATTAATAGAATGCAACGGCTTGTATAACGAGAGGTTCCAGGCTGTCCAAGAGAGTGCTCGATACCGAAAGGCAGGGCTAGTTCAAACAATAATAAGAGGATTCAAAAAGTGTTTTTACCCCGAGTTTCACCGACTAAGCGACCATCTGTTCTCTGATGATCGCTCTGTGTGTGAAACTCGGAGCAAAAACACGTTTCATCCTCTTCTTATTGTTTGAATGCAACGACTTTTAACTCCGCCACATGCACTTTCTGCCAGCCTCATTTACGCCAGCAACACCACTCCAAATCGTGGTAGATACTGAATTTTCATCCAAAAGCCCAAAGCTGCTGCTGCTCACCTTCCTATTGGCAGGTGTTTACCCTGTTTAAAATGGACATTTCGACACCCTTGTACTGTTCCTATTGTTATAGCCTATCCTCGATTAACTGCTCCCTCTACATAAAGTTGTCATTTCATTCTTCTCGCAGGAGAAAAGTACAAAATACAAATATTAGAGGATTTCCCAAAGAAAAGAAAACGGGCCAAGAAGGAACTAGAAGTTACGCTATAATGTCCACTTACACCGCCAGGTACTTAACAATCAGTTCATGCATTTCCCTCCTGAGACATAGTCTAAATTGAAGGGAGTTCCATTATAATGGGAGGCTGTAGGGCGGAGCTAGTAAACACTGGATGACTACGAACAGCAGCTATCATGTGGGCTGAATGTTCTTGTTCGTACCGTTATGGCAATGTTTTCCAGGTTCGCACAGGAGACCGCAGCAGTAGCAGCATGTCCAGCAGCGACGGCGGCGACGGTGGCGGCGAACGCGGACACCATCAACGGCATCATCGCCGTGTGCCGTCGAGGCCTGGCGGCGTCCAGCAGCCCGGCAGCAAGCTGTGCAGGCGCCGCAAGGCCGAGCGCTCTGTGCAGGTGACTACAGCAGCTACAGCAGACTGCACAGCCGGCAAGCGTCACAGGGCAATTACAGCACATACGCTGGATTCAGGTATGTTTCTACCGGCGTGTACTGCTCACACTTTGAAGTACAGTGGTCCCTCTATAATCCGGCACCATCTGTGCTATGGAAATTCTGCTGGATAAGGGAGGGTGCTGGGTTAGGGAGGGTGTTGGGTTAGGGAGGGTGTTGGGTTAGGGAGGGTGCTGGATTAGGGAGGGTGCTGGGTTAGGGAGGGTGTTGGGTTAGGGAGAGTGCTGGATTAGGGAGGGTGTTGGGTTAGGGAGGGTGCTGGGTTAGGGAGGGTGCTGGGTTAGGGAGGGTGCTGGATTAGGGAGGGTGCTGGATTAGGGAGGGTGCTGGATTAGGGAGGGTGCTGGGTTAGGGAGGGTGCTGGATCAGGGAGGGTGTTGGGTTAGGGAGGGTGTTGGGTTAGGGAGGGTGTTGGGTTAGGGAGGGTGCTGGATTAGGGAGGGTGCTGGATTAGGGAGGGTGCTGGATTAGGGAGGGTGCTGGATTAGGGAGGGTGCTGGGTTAGGGAGGGTGCTGGGTTAGGGAGGGTGCTGGGTTAGGGAGGGTGCTGGGTTAGGGAGGGTGCTGGATTAGGGAGGGTGCTGGATTAGGGAGGGTGCTGGATTAGGGAGGGTGTTGGGTTAGGGAGGGTGTTGGGTTAGGGAGGGTGTTGGGTTAGGGAGGGTGCTGGATTAGGGAGGGTGCTGGATTAGGGAGGGTGCTGGGTTAGGGAGGGTGCTGGGTTAGGGAGGGTGCTGGATTAGGGAGGGTGTTGGGTGAGGGAGGGTGTTGGGTTAGGGAGGGTGTTGGGTTAGGGAGGGTGTTGGGTTAGGGAGGGTGCTGGATTAGGGAGGGTGCTGGGTTAGGGAGGGTGTTGGGTTAGGGAGAGTGCTGGATTAGGGAGGGTGTTGGGTTAGGGAGGGTGCTGGGTTAGGGAGGGTGCTGGATTAGGGAGGGTGCTGGATTAGGGAGGGTGCTGGATTAGGGAGGGTGTTGGGTTAGGGAGGGTGCTGGATCAGGGAGGGTGTTGGGTCAGGGAGGGTGTTGGGTTAGGGAGGGTGTTGGGTTAGGGAGGGTGTTGGGTTAGGGAGGGTGCTGGATTAGGGAGGGTGCTGGATTAGGGAGGGTGCTGGATTAGGGAGGGTGCTGGATTAGGGAGGGTGCTGGATTAGGGAGGGTGTTGGGTTAGGGAGGGTGTTGGGTTAGGGAGGGTGTTGGGTTAGGGAGGGTGCTGGATTAGGGAGGGTGCTGGATTAGGGAGGGTGCTGGATTAGGGAGGGTGCTGGGTTAGGGAGGGTGCTGGGTTAGGGAGGGTGTTGGGGTAGGGAGGGTGCTGGGTTAGGGAGGGTGCTGGGTTAGGGAGGGTGCTGGGTTAGGGAGGGTGCTGGATTAGGGAGGGTGTTGGGTTAGGGAGGGTGTTGGGTTAGGGAGGGTGTTGGGTTAGGGAGGGTACTGGATTAGGGAGGGTGCTGGATTAGGGAGGGTGCTGGATTAGGGAGGGTGCTGGATTAGGGAGGGTGCTGGGTTAGGGAGGGTGCTGGGTTAGGGAGGGTGCTGGGTTAGGGAGGGTGCTGGGTTAGGGAGGGTGCTGGGTTAGGGAGGGTGCTGGATTAGGGAGGGTGTTGGGTTAGGGAGGGTGTTGGGTTAGGGAGGGTGTTGGGTTAGGGAGGGTGTTGGGTTAGGGAGGGTGCTGGATTAGGGAGGGTGCTGGATTAGGGAGGGTGCTGGATTAGGGAGGGTGCTGGATTAGGGAGGGTGCTGGATTAGGGAGGGTGCTGGGTTAGGGAGGGTGCTGGGTTAGGGAGGGTGCTGGATTAGGGAGGGTGCTGGGTTAGGGAGGGTGCTGGGTTAGGGAGGGTGCTGGATTAGAAATCTGATTTACTACTTGAGTGTGCATGAAAACGTGACATTTTGGAAACTGATACAGTGCTGGTTTAAAATTATGTGCTGGAGGAATGACTGTGCAGTGAAAACCTGGCCTAACCACACGCCCTTGGTGTAGCGGAAACTGTCCTGGTACAGGGTCACAGGCAGGGGGGGGGGGTGCTTTGGGTGCTAAAGTACCCGCCTCAAAATTTCGATCTTGGTTCGCAGCTATTTCAAGAGAGACCATAATATGCGGACCGCTGATCCCATGTGCAACTCTGCACATCCCACACTGTGGCAATCCCTATTCCGACCAGGGAGTAGTAGGTATGGTACTACTCCCTCGTTCAGACCTACATGTTTTTAACATCTGTAACCAATCTACTGTCGTGGACGTGGAAATCCAGTCTCACGTCTGGCGGCCCCAAGGCGCTGGCCATGCAGCCATGGATAAGCGGGACCCACATGCATCTATGCGCTGCAGCGCACTGGTCGCATCGAATCAACACGTGCACTGCACGCAGCGCTCTGTGCGTGCTGAGGGCGCCGGCCCCGGTCAATCGACTGGATTTCCATGTCCGCTACAGTACATGTTCCTAATTGCAGTTGACTCTTTTGTCTCATGATTGGCCAGTTTGCAGTGAAATTTCTAGTCAAGGGCAACTCTGCTTCGTACCTGCCGTTCTGCAGCATCACGTCAGACCTCAGCAGACTCAGGCCATGATTTGCATCGCACTCCACATGTTTTGTTAGAAGCAAAGAATCATACAAACACGCTATGGGTAGAAGTAGCAACACGGTCGTCCATGGAAAACACCCGCCAGAGTTACACATAGCAGTTTGTTCATGCTATGTTCCGTGTAATGTAGCTCTGGCTGTTGAGTTGTCGCGTTGGAGGTTGACGAAAAGCAAAGAAGTTTCTTTCAAGTGTTGCAAGTGTGGGTACAGCAGCAGAAGAGCGAAAGTAACGTTGAAGTGCGGTTTTCGGTTTTCGTGAGAATTATAGTGTACGTTTGATCAAGGATGCCTGCACTATCTAACACGACGAAGAGACAAAGAATTGAGAAATCTGACTTATTTTCGATGGAGAGTGTGATAATTCTGGAGAAAGCAGCATCTAGGACATAGCATATCATTAGTTGGTAAATATACCACGTTACTCCTCCAATGTAGAGGCAATGGGGAACAGTGGGGGTCATGGGTGCAAACACATGAAGTGGGAACCTATGAAAAAAGTCCCTCAAAGAATTCCCTCGTACAAGCCCAGTCGCGGAGCCCTCTCGTGGTGGTTATGTCCCTCTGCTTGCTTTTGTACTCGGCTGAGCCATATAACACCTCAGCTCTTGTTGGCCAAATAGTTTCGAAATGGTGAGCTGCGGTTGCAGCTTTCGGAATTTAGTGGATGTGTCGTACACGCACGCACGCATGCATGTGCGGCGCATTTGTGCATAGATGTGTGGGCTCATGCGTGTGCTCGTGAGAGATGTGCATGCATGTGTGGTGTGTGCGCAAAGATGGGTAGCCATCAGCAAGCCAAGCAGAGAAAATTCTAAGCGTGTGTGTGTGTGCGTATATGCGTGTGAGTGTGTGTGTGTGGGTGCGTGCGTGTTCGTGTGCATGTGTGCGTGTGTATGCATGCACGTGCGGCATTTGTGCGTAGATGTGTGGGCTCTTCTCTGCTTCTCCTTTGCTTGCTGACGGCTACACGCATTGCGCATTTTGTGCATAGATGTGTGGGCTCATGTGTGTGTGTGCCATGTGCAATGTGCGTGCATGTGTGGTGTGTGCACAAAGAAGTATAGCCATCAGCAAGCCAAGGAGAAGGAGAGAAAATTCTAAGTCCGCAAGAAGAAGCAGAGAATATTCTTAGACCGACCATCCCAAACCCCGACCACCATCCCCTCCTGGAATGATTACTTTTATAGCCTATCCTGGCTCTGAACTTCACACCTCCCGGTTGCCCTCAGCCAATCAGAGTTCAGAAAGTGTTTGTTGATGAGAGCCATCAGTAAGCGAAGAAGAGGCAGAGAAAATTCATGCATGTGTGCGTGTGTGGTGTGGGGTGTGCGTGCATGTGTGGTGTGTGTGCTCACACATGTGCTTACCATGCAATAATTTCTAGATGGTGTGTCACCCGCCGGGAGTGTGACCTCATGGTCAGCTGGTGACCGTCTGTCGGACTGGCCCAGGAGTGACGATGACTCAGATCGGCTGTCGGCACGCGTGCGCTAGCATCCATTATCATCATTGTGTCAACCGGAACCAGATTGTATTTTCTGACCAAAATATGGCTGAGATTATGTCACAGGCGGTACAAATGTTCAAAGCAGCATGACCCCTGGGAGGACTGATTCAGTTGCCAAGAAATGCAGCCATCGGCAAGCCAAAAAGAAGCGGAGAAAGAGTGACGATGACTCAGATCGGCTATCGGCACGCCTGCGCTAGCATACGTTATCATCGTTGTGTCAACCGGAACCAGAGTGCAGGCTCATTGTATTTTCTGACCAAAATATGGCTGAGATCATGTCACAGGCGGACTGGGAGGACTGATTCAGTCGCCAAGAAATGCAGCCATCAGCAGAGAATTTCTAAAATTCTAGCCATCCCAAACCCTGACTACCACCCCCTCCTGAATGATTACTCCGGAATGATTACTTTTATAGCCTATCCTCTCTGAACTTCACACCTGAAATGCAATCGGTCAACCGCCCTCAGCCTACAAAGTTCAGCAGCTGGTGGCTTTTGTTGTAGGAGAAACAGCCCGGAAAATTCTAGCGGAGAAGAACATCGAAAATTCTTAAATCTGGGTTTGGAAATTTTATTTTTCATTGCTATCAGGTTCTGCCTCATGTCCTCTGTGCTGCGCTGATGCGTCCATAAAGGACGAAACAGTTCTGGCCGCAGATTGAGTAAAATTCTTTTTTCAATATTACTCTTCTTGCTTACCATATACGGCGCATAATTGCGTACCGGTTACCGCACCTCTGCATCTTTCTTTTACTTTTTAGCACTGCTCTATCAGTATGTGATCATATATCATCATTATGATCCCATTACTATGACATCATGTCATCATTATGATCCCGATATGATGACATCATCATATCCCGGCAATGTGTGGAGATAATTATTGCTGAGTAGTTCTCCGCTGCCATGTGTGGAGATAATTATTGTTGAGTAGTTCTCCGCTGCCTTGAGCTGTTATATGTGGAGATCATTATTGTTGAGTAGTTCTCCCCGGCCTTGAGCTGTTCTTGTTGCTAGCGAAGAAATTTACTTGAATGATAATTATATTCTCGACCTCTGCTGCCATTATTCGAACGGCGTGCATATATAACGAGTTACTAAAATTGACTGGTTTACGTGTACCGAATGTGACGATTCTCACTCATTCTCAACGCTCCATAGCAACAGTATTGTATCGATTTCTGAATAAAAATTTCTATTTTAACGACAGATTTCTTCTCGTTAGAATTATCACTTCGTTGCAAATATGGCTTTTACAGTACATTAGACACCCTTAGCAAACAACGGTAACGCTATTTTTTACGGTACTCGTACCTTGATCACCCAAATAGCGTTGAAGCTGCAGCGTATAAACGTTATGGGGGCTGATTTATCGTTGTGACCAACGGTACGTGTTTTGGCCAAATATTGCATAGTCCGTACGCATTTCACATAGTATCGCGTATATGGTGACCAAAATGGTTGTACCGCGCGAAATCAAAGCCATTCTCTTGGCAACAGCGTACTAAAAATAGCGTGCATCTTGCTAAAGGTCGAACCACAATAACGGTATTTTTCCCCCTTACGATAATACCGTTACAACATAACGTTTTTTGCTAAGGGTGTCTAATACGACACTACCGTGACTATTTTCCAGTGAATCATCATTCTGTATATGCAATTACGGGATGATTTTAGAGCAAACGTAAATCCCGAGCTCTGCTGAAAGTGAATTCGCACTTATCGCTCAATGAAGATTTACCGGTATCACTTTTCACTGCAGGATCTGGCAAGCAAACGTACACCGACATACAGCACATCGCATGTCATAGACTCCAACCAGCACCAATCAATCGACTAGGTAGCATGGTTATTAGAGGCCCAAGGCTCAGTTAGGAGTGGGAAGTGTGAACTTGAGAAGGGACCATTTTGAATTTTGATATTCGAGATTCCATGAACTCAACAAGTTGGATAGTCAACATAACAAATGAGGCAATGACTGTTGGCGGGTCTCTAGAAATGCATTTGTAATGTAGCAAGTTGTCATCATGTTTTCAAACTTTAAAAAGTTTGAAAACATGATGACAACTTGCTACATTACACGAGGGAGACATGGCTGCAGCAAATTAGATTACCACTTTGTTGGTGAGACTGATCTACTCACCTCCCACCGCTTTAGGAACTGCTTCTGCACCTTGACCCTTGAGGGTGGTGATGTCCCCCCCCCCCCCCCCAACCCGTGAAAAAGTGCCATTCAACGAAAGTGCAGTTGACAGTACTACAGTCCATTTCAAAACTATAGACGCGTACCTAGGCAAAAAACCGTTATGCCAGCATCTATACCACATAAAATCTGTGATCACTTTGTGCATAAATGTTTCCAAATTGGGCGTCTGTTATCCAATCCTTTAGAAACTATATGAGAGTAATTGTGGAGCGATCCCGAGCAATATTCCGAAAACTATTCTCAAAACGTTCCAGCCAAATTTGAAATATTTCAAAAACCCTACCCGTCTATAGTTTTGAAATGCACTGTAGAGGGTTCATAAAGGCACATTTGTCTGGGGTGAGGTCACGTGTTCGCCCCGTACGTTGCATTCCACATTGCAAGACAGTTGTTTTGAAAATGGAAAAATGGGTTACGGGGTAACTGCCCCCCCCCCCCCTTACTATTTTTACCTGGCTACTAGAACCGTGCCATATGTGGGGTACGTCTCACCAGAGTTCCACTGTATTATAAATTTTGTACAAATTCAGGGCCCAAAGCGAGCCAGTGACGATGTCAGCCACCCAGTAAGTACAGTGAACCCTGTTGCTAATCACGGTGGTCTTTAATTACAGGTTCTACTGTATATAGATCTACATGTGTACAACGGGAGGATTCTTACCGTTGGATGCCCATTGCTCCGTGCAATGAACTGTCTGAGGCAGACAAGGACAGGTGACTTCTGCGTGTTTGCTTCTCAGCATACTGATCTGGTTCCTGTTAGCTGGCTTCATCAGCTGCTGTTCAGGACACTCTTGCGCCTTTTGTCCGCCACGTACAGTGCAGGGGGCGGTAGAATGGACGCTTGGAAGAGCGTGTCCACCAGGCGCGATATCGATGATCTCCACATTTAGGCAGGTACTCTCTCTCTCCTACACTGTATACATGTACATACGGTGATGGCCGGTGTGTGAAATCCAACGCAGATCCGCATTCACTGTAGAGACCGGTGTTCATAGTGCTAGGGTCGACCGGCCACCAAGGTATAGTGCTTGTGGGAGTCGGATTTTACTTGCCCTCACTGCACTACGGTCTTGTTGCTGCCTGTGTTGCATCTGTTGACACTGCCACGGGGTGGGACTGGAGTGGGATTGCCAACCTGCCGGGCCGTCTACGACCGACCGTCGATTGTTTCCCCGTCAATTAGTGACTGCATGCACTCCACTGCACTCCACTGCACTCCACTGCACTCCACTGCACTCCACTGTACGAAGACTATACTATAGTAGTACTGTCGGGTACCAAAGCCTTGAATAGCAGATTAGAACTGCACCAAGCACAGCATACCTATGTACACGGTGACTCGACTGTGTCATAGACTGTTGTGCTTGAAAATAAGAACGGTCTAGGCTACGAGACTGACGGCCCCAGTTCTTCCGCGTCCGACACTCGACAGTGCTAGTTCCGGCAGGCATAACAAAGCCAAAGGCTCCATAGAAGGGTGGCTGGAACACAGGTCCGTTCTCGATCGGTAGACTGCATTCTCTGTACTACTCCCGCTAAGCTCCCCGGCGTTGTTGGTGCTCGTGTCGCGACCTGGTACCGGAAACCAGACGGTAAACTTTCCACAAAAATGTGTTCAGAGCAGAGTTCTTGGTTCTTGGCTAGCGGTGACAAAGCCGCCTGCCTTCAGTGGCAACGCGTCTAGCGAGGCTCTCAGTCGCTGTAGATTTTCTTCAAGGGATGTCGAGGTTCGAATCACGCTCAGAAGTATTCCGCTTGAGCGTCTTCTTGCGAGGGGTCAGTGCACACAGCCACTGCCTCGACAGCTCGTGGTGAGAGCGTCTCGAAACCTTCAAAATGCAGCTCCTTCAGTTCTGGACTTGTACTTGTAGGCAAAGCCGTTGCCACGAACTCGCCCGTCCAGTCGTTCGCCGTCTGTACAATCGTAACCCGTTGGGGCTGTTCTCTCACGAGCTTGTTATCTCCCGCTGTATCTCGGTATCGTCGCAACGGAACTACCAGGGCTGCAGGCGCTGCTCCTTGCATCGAGCGACCTCCGCACTACCCGTTAGCACAACATCCCACCGCGGCCACCAAATGCAAGCTACATCGTGTAGCGACACCACGCATACTACCACACGGGCGTACAGCACATGGCATAGACTCCGCGACCTGCACCAAGGAAGCAACGGACTGCAGCAGGAAACAATGATTATTTTGGTACTTTGGAGCCTCAACCTCTTTGCTGTCCAGCTGGCCCTTGCGGCAGTCGTCGTTGGACCGACGTAAAACCCTAAAAGGCTCAAGACTGAAAAGTGGAACAAGAACAGTTCGATATCCAAGAGGACGAGGCACTCTATCGCTCATGTTAGTTTGAGCGCCAGCGTCACAAATGACCCAATGAGCAGGCGAGAAGAAAAACACAAGCGAAACTTAGGAAGAATGAAGTGTGAAAGCATGAAAGCTCACCCCACAGTCCTTGCTACGCACTCGAAGCGGAGTGTATGCGCGCGCGATTATCAGAGGTGATGCGATTAGATGACCAGTAATAAATATATATCTACATTGTACTTGTAGACTCGATGAGTAGAGCTACGAGGTGTGCTCATTTTGAGATGCCAATCATGCCATAGATTACATGACATTGTAATTGTAGTGGCTAAGCCATGCGCCACGGCGCCCCCGATGCGCCAGAGCAAACATAGAAAACTACCTGATGCAGTGATGGTATAACAGTTCGACTCGGGTGGATCGCCAGTTAGGTGTAGAACGTCAGCACTGTTGAACGTTGTTCAGTGTCGTGCAATGATTACGACCGTTATCGCATGAGCTGAATGTAAAGTAAAACTGGTGGTGCTTATAATAATACTATTAATATTATTATGATTTCATAACAGTTACTATTTTCTATCAATGTAGGGTTGTTCGCCACTACCGGTAGTTGCACTCACTAGCTATTGGTGGATAATGCTCGAAACGTTGCAGATTCTGCTCGAAAACTATTAAAAGAGCAGTGAAATTGGCAGAACCGTGCAAACCTTTTTGGAGGGCAATTCCTCGAATTCTGTTCCTCGCCTTATCCACATACCAAACATGCATGAAACATACCGTATTTCCCCGAATAGGTCGCACTCGGTTATAAGTCGCACCCCCATTTCCAGGTTTGAGCAATACTGTTTTGATAATATTGACGTCAGTAGTAAATCATGCTCGATTGTAAGTCGCACCCCCTTTTTCACCCTTGTTTTTTAGTGTCAAAGGTGCGACCTATAATCGGGAAAATACGGTACCAGAAAAGGTATCAAATTCTTTCAATTGTTCTGCAGGCATAGCCGCCAAGGGCTACAACTCGCTATAGATTTAACAGGTAGCGCCTGGCAGCGAAAGTGAAGTGGTAAAACGCGCAACGAATTCACCCAGCAAAAGGTCGGTGGTTTGGGGATCCGGGAGGAGGCGGGGGGGGGGGGGGGGAGGTGCGAAATCCCGTGAGCTCTCACCGCACAAGTTAGTTTCCAATCAGTCCTCATATCCGACGGCTTGTCGAGTTGTGAATCTGTTTCCTACCACCCGTACTTGTTGTACAGCTGTGCGCGTGCGCGCGTGTGTGTTTTGTATACTGTGTGCGAACTGCGGCAATTTGTGGACGCCAAGGGCAGGGGCCCCAAGCAGGGAGTACTGATAATACCTGTCCATACACTGTTGATGCAGTAATGCTACATGTACTCTATATTAGTGCATGTGAGCTCGACGTTTTGTCGCCACCATGTTGATGTACCACCAGGGTATTTTACGACTCCCTAGTCGCCACCATATTTAGCAGCTTGTAAACACGCACCTGGCAAAATGGCGGTAAATACTAATTCCCGTATGTCACGTGATTGTCGCCTTGGAGTTGACCAATGACAGATCAAACAGCACG